TTTCAATATAATATATCATTCACACATATGATATATTTATTATAGCTTATTAAATGAATACATTTATATGATGTATGTATTAGTTACTTATCACGATTATTACCTTAAAAAAAATTCATGGATTATTAATTAAATGTACCACATTTTATGTTATTATTTTGTACATAAAAAAATTTTATATCATTTTTTGAATTAATACAATTACATGTTCACAAATAAAAGTAATATAGAAATTAAATGTTATGGTTAGATATTTTAGTGCATTTATAAATATATATTTTTCAAATATATGTTAAACCAATTTTGTAATTTTATTTAATATTTTTTTAGTATGTATAGTTTATATAAAATATTTTACTTAAAATTAACATTTTTAACAATATAAATATTTCATCCGTACTGTTTGACCTGCTTTCACCATTCAACACATATTTGAAAGCGTTCGATCTGCTTGATCCGCACTTGTACCGCCATATCTGCTTGATCCGCTTTTGTTCCGCTTGAAACGCCGGATCTGCTCGATCCGCTCCGCCAGATACGCTTTCTCCATTCGGAGCAAAGATCCTATTAAAATACGCTATACGATAGTCGGTTGGTGGATCACCGTATAGCGCCTAATTGTATATGCGGCTGTATAGGCGGGGTATATACGGTGAATATATTTTTAGATAATATATATATCTTCTATAATATGATAAGGTTTCTTCAAAACAAGCTCTAAGAATGTGACATTTGGCGTTTTACTCTTTTGACACATATTATTTTCAGTTTGTTTTTTAATTTGAGTGCAATAAATCTGTTTGTTTGATTTTTGAGAACAATAACCACAATAGTCCTCAAATTAAATTATAAAATAAAAGCAAAATTATTTGATGATAAAATAATTTAAAGTATATGACAAGGTTTTTTCAAAACAAGCTCTAAGAATGTGACATTTGGCGTTCTACTCTTTTGACACATTTCATTTTCAGTTTATTTTTAATTTATGAGCAATAAATCTGTTTATTTGATTTTTGAGACAATAACCACAATAGTCTTTAAATCAAATTATAAAATAAAATCAAAATTATTTGATGATAAAATAATTTAAAGATATTTTTGAATAAAGAGATATTTTCCAATATTTTATCTTTTTCACATAATTTATAGTAAAAAATAAAGTTCGAATTATTAGGCGATAAAATAGTTGAAGCATATGCGATAATATGTTATATTTTTAATTTTATTTTATTTTTTACATATAGCATATTGCCCTATAGTTATTTTCTGTTGTATATCTTACTAATCTCATGAGAATTGATTTTTTTATAAAAAGATAAAGAATATATTAATAAAATTGACTTTTTCTATATCTTATTGAACCACAAACATTTGTTTTTTTTTTTATAACCCAGGTGTCCGGTCCCACCGGAGTGGTCCGACTAGCGTCGTGTCCAAGCGGAACTGACGTGGTCCGCAGTGGCCAGGAATCTAACTCAGGTGGCGGTACCCCCAGCTGGATGGCCTTTACCACTAGGAGACAACTCCTGGTTATTAAACCACAAACATAATACATTTAATTCTTTAATCATATACATTAATCCACCTTTTAATACTAAATTGTAATCTAAATCATATAAATTGTGTATTAACTTTTTTCTCTATTCAATGGCATTCAAACACACTATTAACTATTATTGTAACTCCCATAATTTAATTTTTTAAAAATGAATGTATTTTCTCATGGTGGAGGTTACATTTAAATATTAATTTACTATAATTTATTTCATTATTATAAGAATAGCACAATACGACATACCATTCTCAAATCTCAACATGAGAAACCCAACATCCATCAAAAACCAAAATACATGAGGTTTTTTGTTTTTTTAAAAGTGTTATCTCTTCCTTTAATTTGATGCTTTAAATTTAATTTTATTGGTTTCTAATCTTTTTTCCTCATATGTTATTTTCTTTTGTTTTTATGTCATTTTTCTAAGTATATTTCAGTCCATAATGTCATATGTTATTACGTTTATAATGGTAAGATATGTTGTGTATATTTGAATTCTATTATTTATGATCAGAAAATAAAGAAATTATTTCCTAATATAAATATGTTTTGTGTATGTAGACTATATTGTTAAAACTATTTCTATATGGTGATGAATTTTGTTTAGCTAACAATTCTAAATAGGTGACAAGTTTTCACAATCACTAAATACAATTTAAAAACTCATATAAAAATAGTTTTAAAAGTTATTCTACACATATATAAAAGTTGCTCTTTTTTTGCCAAACATGAGGCATATTTTTCTTCTTCCTTTAAAATAAATTATTATGAAATTAATTTTCTGATTAATGCGGTATAAATTGAAAAACAAATAACGATCTTCAACTTAGCAATTTTTAATAATTACTCTGACATCTTATATATATATATTTCCTTTTTACTGTCGTTTTAAAATCGAGAATTAACATATATAAGATATTCTAATATTTTTTTTAATTGATATGTGCCCTATTTTTCTTATTTTGTTTTTTTTTTCACTTTCAAATAAATAATGAACATCCTTACATCCTGTTATTAATAAATGAAATGGATGCAAGAGATATAAACGATAATTTAACATAACATCCATGTTATAAATATTCCATGTTTTTATTTCTTTTAACGTATATTTAATATTTTATACTACTTGAAAATTTTCGTAAAATATCGATTAAATATTTTTAATAATATCTTACATCATTAGATTTCTATTAAAATTTACAATTAATGTATTGTCTTTACATTTTCTTAGCTTTATAACGGTAGTCCATCATTATTTTGTAGAACTTTAATTAAAAATTTTGTTACCCTCTATAGATACACATAAGTTACAAAACATTTAACTACATTAATTTACAATTTATTACAAATTTAGGAAAAATGTGAAACTCAAGTGATAATAAATTATTTTATTAAATTTATTTAGTTACTAGGATTTAAGAGTACTTTTTTGTTTTCTATAATTGTGGTATAAATTCTATTTATGATGATAATATTGTAATAATCAACAAGTATTTGACTTTAAAGATAACAAAATATTATCACAACTCTCCAATTTTTTCACTTCTTGTCCACTGTCCTCCTTTTTTTTTTTTTTGACACAAAGCCCTCTCATTATTTTTCTAATATCCCTGGAAATGTTAATTCACAAGCTTTTCAAATATATTAATATTGTTGTGTCAAATCATATGATTCATTTAAACATGTAAATTACAACTTTTTAAGTCATTATAGAGAAGAAATAAATTGGAAGATTTTTTGGCTAATATTTTTAGTGAATAATCTAGAAATTTTTTTGTTAATACTTTCTTTATAATTAACTACATAAGGACCCGTCCGATGGACGGGTTTCTTATTTTTAAAATAAAGATCACATTTAACAAAAAATTAATTAATAACGTTGTAAGCAGAAATTTTCTTTCAAAAGTAAAAATAATATTTACTTTTTCACTGTTGCATTATTTTTTTAACCACTAAAATTATTAATTCAAAAATATTTCGAGTGAAAGATATATGACTTAACAATAATTCATGGTATACTTATATGAAGAACAAAAATTAAAAATATTCATCATAAAGTTGGTGAGTAAAACCAAAGTGGTGTTTAATTAGGCACGTTAAAAATATAAAGATGATAAATCGACTAAATTCTTTAGCCTTCCAAGCTAACGTTGCGTGTTCGATTCTATATACTCGATTGCAATAACTTTTTGATCAATCAATAAAAATTGATAAATTCAAAAAATTAAATAGCACGATGATATATGAAATCTTATATAATTCAAATATGAACATAGAAATTGAAATAAACAATTTTGAAATAGTATAATTAAATTCAAAATATCAAAAAATGAAAAAAAAAAAAGCATATATGTTTCTAACATATTCAAGAATTTCAAATAAAATAATATAAAACTTTACTTAAAATCATCACATATTTTTAATTAGAAAATAATATTGATATAAATAATGTAAATTGTAATTTAAATCATGACACATGTCGCTATCTTAAATCATTAGAACTATGATATATTATAAATCTTATATAATTTAAACTAAACGTAGAAACCAAAATAAGTAATTTAAAGATACAACAGTTAAACTAAAAATAAAAACAATTATAAAAACGATGATATATGAATCTTTGATAATGTAAATATGAAAATAGAAATTGAAATAAACAATCTAACTATACTACAATCATAATTGAGGACAAAAAAAAACAGTTAAGTAAAAAAATATTACAAAAAGAAAAAAAAATTGATCTCACATATTTCTAATTGAAAAAATAAACTCAAGTAAATAATATGAGGATTAGTTTAATTAAATCATCACATATTTATAATTGAAAAAGAAATTGAAATAAATAATATCAAATTTAAAATAATATACAATAACATATGTTTCCTTTTTAATAAATTTGCCTGATTTTTTTCTTTTTTTAATTGAAATATAAAAGCATATAATTTCCTTTTTATTATCTTTTGACATTTTTCCACTCATGGAAAATTGTTGGAGGGTTTTGCTTAGTTTTAAATTTTTTTATAGAAATATGAATTATTTACAATTATTCTTATAATTATCTTTTACAATTTTAAAATTATTCAAATTTGTAATTACTTTCAATTATCTTCTATTTTGTTTTAAAAAGGAAATTTTCTTTTACACGTGTCAAAATCTAAGATCGATAGATTTGTCACGTGTCACGATCATATGAGTTATTAACTTTGAAAACCATACTTTTTATAATAAGATACAGGTTCTCATATTTTTTAGGTTAAACTAATGTACTTTTTTTACGATAAAATATATTCAAACTATTTCCACGCATAGCGTGAGTCATTTTCTAGTAGATATATAATTATTTATATATATATATATATATACCATAAAAAGAATTAAAGTTTAAGTGAAAATGCTCTAAAAAACAATAGTAAAAAAAAAAAAAGTCTACATAACACTAAAATATAAAATCAAATAAGTCTTACGTTAAATTTCTAACTCTCAAAAAAATGAAAACATAATGACAAAACCAAATTTTAATCTTCCAATTCTTCTTCTCCATCATCTTCTAGAATCTGTTTGTCGTCCGACTCACAATCAACATCAAAAACTTCTTCTTCATCATCGGATATGAAATCTTCTTCAACTAGCTCTCTAATTTGATCTGCTTCAGTTGTTGATCTAAATGCTTCTTCTTGACCAATATCAACTTCTAAACCAAATCCCGAGTCCTCTTCATCATTAGAAATCCCATCAACAATCAATGATTGAGCATAGGTAGCATGATTCGCAACCAATATATCAACATTTTTCTCTCTTTGTTTCTTCTTTTGGTTCATCAATCTTAAATTGAATTGGACATACACAAGATTGTTCATTCGACTTACGTCAAGTCGGTTTCGTTTCTTTGTATGTACCTACATGTAAAAATAGCCACAGTATAAATTTAATGAATTGATGAACTATATGCACCAAATTGAAAAGAACTGAAAAGTAAAAAGTATAACAAAGTCTAACCCCATCAAATGTACTCCAATTTTGCTCACATCCAGATGAACTTGTAGTCAAAGACAGAATTCTCTTGGCCATTTTTGCTTAATTAGGAACTGCATTTCCATATGTTTCCCACCAATAAACTGAAATTATAAACCAATATAAATGAACAAAGTAAATAATAAAACTCAAATTATTCAATAGAAGAACAAAGAAATGTGAAAGTTTTAATGAAGAGAAAAAAATACCTGGATCATAATCCTCCTTCTTGCAACCTAAGATGGCCCATTGTTTTCCAAAATTCCCTTCTTTATTTTTGTAAATCGCCAATTCAGAATTGATGACTTGACATTGTGTGGTGAGATCATTTGGAAAAAAAACATCCACACACTTAAAGATTGCGTTTGATATCTCATCATTGGTCACTTTGCTTGAATCGTTGTAGAAGTAGTATGGGTTCAAGAGATAACCTGTCAAATGCAAAGGATTGTCAAGTCGACCCATAATCCTTTCTTCGATGATATTCAATATCGGCTTCACATTTTTTTCCACATTTTTCAATCCATCACTTATATCTTTCTTTGCTACCATTAACTCTCCATGCAAAAATCCCATTGTAGGCTTTTTATCTCCAATGGTCCAAAAATTTTTAAGCACATTATCACCCCATTCCAAAATTTAACACTCATCACCGTGTTAAATGCCTTTACTCCTTTCGAAAGTTTCGACCATTTGCATTTTCTCCACTCACTGCTAGAAAACATGGCTGTTAGTTTATCTCTCTTGTCCAAGAGACTTTGCAAAGTAAGAAACGATGATGCAAATCTAGTAACTCCAGACCTAACGATATCTCTCTTGTTTGTGAATGATCTCATCATCGCCAATGTCTTATGATGAGCATATATCAAGACTGTGAATTCTTTTGCCATTTGAATTGTACTTTTGAACATTGGGAGTCTTGATATGCTTTCAAGCATCAAATTGATGGAGTGAGTACCACATGATGTCCAAAAGATACTTGGCTTGATCTCTTTCATTATCTTTGCAGCAGACATATTGTTAGTGGCGTTATCAGTTACCACTTGAACTACATTCTCTTCACCAATCTCCTCAATGCATCCTTTAACATACTCAAAAATATATCCACCTGTATGAGCCTCATCTGAACTCTCTTTAGAAGAGAGAAACATTGTACCTCCTTTATAATTAACACACAAATTCATGATACTTCTCCTCTTTCAATCCGACCAAGCATCTGTCATAACCTTGCACCCATTCTTCTTCCACTCTTCTTCTTGCGGTTTCAGCAAACCATGAACTCTATCAACCTCTTCCTTTAGTAAAGGCTCTCGAAGTTGGTATTGACTTGGTGGTGTGACGCCTGGACCAAATTGTCCTAAAGCTGTAACCATCATTTTAAACTCCTCGTTTGCGATAGAGTTGAAAGGAACACCTGAAGCATACACCCACCTAGCAATATATTGTTGAACCTTATGTAGCTTCTCCTTCCAAAGAGCATCATTGATATTTTGTTGCCTAGTTGGAAGAGGTCTAGATTCTGGATTGATGTTTGTTGCAAACTTATCCATTGGACCAAGTGTCCTTTGCATCTTTCTTCATCCTATTTCTTCAAGTTCAATCTCATCATCCATATCTCCATTGTCATGAACCATAATTGACTGTCGCAACTCATTATCTGCAATTACCTTCTTCTTCTTTCTTTTCTTTACTTCCTCGATAGCATTCTTGCACTTTTCTTGATCATCCTTTGATGATTTTGGACAAGCATAAACATTTCCAGGAATTTTGTCAATGTGTTCTTTGATCCTGTACGCACCTCCTGAAAATTCTTTCCCACACAATTTGCATTTGACTTTGTCAAGATTCTTCAGATCATACAAAATTCCATAGTACCAAGCAACATCATTCGAGTTTATCTTCAAAACTGTTGAATCTGATGCTCCACGAGGATCCACATTCGAGCTAGAAGCCATTAGAACTTGAATAATTTCTGAAAAAATGACAAAAGATTGATTCTAAGAATAAACGAACTTCAGTGATGACTACTAACTTTTGATTCTGAATTTTTTATTAATCGTTGCACGATCTCTAAAGGTAAAGACAAAAGTTATAATACTATTTGTCTATTTCGTTCAAAAAATTTTGACTTCGAAAGAATTATATTTTTCAATATGAGATGCAGGAGAAACAAGACACTAAAATAAATAAACTAATAGTAATATATAATAAGGCCAAATAAACATATATCATATATCAAAAGTCAGAACAACAGATTGAGAGGAAAAAAAACTGAAGATTCTCTGTTAATAGGATGAACATAGAGAAATTGAAAAAAAACCTAAGCATCACGAACGATGAAAATGTTTAGGCAGTTACTGTGTTTAGGGTTTTTTCTACTAGTCTATTTATCGGTTTAATTTAATTAAGGTACACCATTACTTTTTTCTTTATTAACTAAAACAAAGTCGTTTAGTGAAATAGTAAGCAAAAAAAAAAAAGAGTCACGTATATACACTAACTGTATAAATGCCCGTATCGGCGCCGTACATACCGCCGTATTAATCCCGACCGTATATGTCAAACGTACAGCTCAAATACAGTACAATACTCTACCGTATAGCATATAATCACCGTATATACGCTACCTAGATAATGAAAGAGATGAAGCCAAGTATCTTTTGGGACATCACCCTAAACATATTTTGCTCCAAATTTTAAATGTACATAATACATAAATACACATGTATTTAATTCTTTTGGAACCGTATAATTTTCCTTTAATGAATCAATAGAATAGTTATGTGTAAACTAAGCTAGTAACATAATTATTTGTGAGTAAAAATAAGGATTAAAATCATATATATAAAAGTTCGCTAACTCTCTCCATATGAGTGTCACATCATCACACAAGAAAATGACATGTGTCCTTCTAAATTATTTAAATAAAAAAATTAGCCAAATTAAATGAGAAAAAAAAATAATAGTTCTTCACATTAAATCATCCATCAATCCTCGTACTCTTAACTTATTTCTTTAAAATAAAAATAAAAAAATTAGAAAATTATGTTACTAAATCAAGCACTACTTTCATTGTTTTCATCTTATTTTACAAATTTTTTTTTTATCAAGAGTCACTATTCGATAATGACTGAAAATTTATTTGTGTTATAATTTAGTTGTTTGCTACCTAACTTCTGATTAGTTTAGTAATTTTAACTTGAGTCTTTTCTCGTTATTACGTTTTGTGGTTCATATACGACTTTTCATATGACATTTTTTTTTTCATTTTTGTGCCTTATTGTAATTTGGTTACATTTACATGCAAGTTTTTCAAGTAATGGGTCTTTAAGACGTTAGGTATACCAAAAAATTTATGACACGACCATTTCTCTTATATAGCTATATGTAATGGCAGAAAATGTAAATGTGTTGAATTAAAATGACACTTTAGTTTTTGTCTTTTTTCTTATTTTTATATGAAAACTATTGAGATCTTGTTCAACTTATGTCAATCGAGTAATTAATTGTGAGTCTATCACGATATGCCTGGAGTACTAGATCATGAGAGTACATAAAACAAGGAATTGCTTAATTATGATCAAGTTACGCAAGTTTCAAATCACACAAGTAACATAATTACATATAATTATATCAAAATATTTTATATTGTTGTTGTATGTATTCGTAATAGTGAAAAAAAAGTTTAGGATCTTAGATATATAAATAATCTTATTTATACATGAAAATATATAAATTGATATTTTAAGTCAAAAATAAATTTAAACATAAAAATTGTAACTACATAAGATGGATCTAATTTTAATAACTATACAATAACAAAAAAAAAACATAAATTAGCAACAAAACAATCAACATCATTTTTTCTTAACAATTTTCAAAGCAAACCCACGCTACGCGTGGGTATTCATCTAGTTGTATTAAAGGAAGAGCCAACATACATAAGAAAAGCAAGTTTGAAGGTCTGACATTTTCTTCACTCCAGCCTCCGAATGCAGAAAGCATATTGGGCAGAGCGGATCAACCAGGTTTGGCGGATCAAACAGAACAAAAACGGATCAAACAGATCGGGTAGTACAAGTGCAGATCAAGAAGTTCGAACGCTTCAAAATATATGTTGAATACTGACTTCGGATAAAATGTTATGGATCAAATATTTATATAGTAAAAATAGAGATTTTATTGAAATAATATTTTGATTTGAACATTATATTAATTTTATATTGAATTGCTTTATTTTAAAATTTCTAGTGTAAGTATAAATAAAATAATTTATATCTACCAGAATTGAAAAACATCAAATAAAATTTGTAATGGCCTATTTGAGCAGAGAGCTTCCTAATATAATATTTTTCATATGAATTGAAACATACATGAATCTGTAGCCGTGACCAACCCTTTTCATATCTTTTGTCACTATAAGTCTATCTTCAGAACTGATGTGTTATAGGAAGAAAATAGTTCTCTTCAAACGATTCGCGTTATTTAGAATGTATTTCGCAAATCTAGACAATCATCCTATCCGAAACGAAATACTCAATCCAAAAACCTAACTATATATATTATTATGGTTTAAAGGGATTCTATTTTTCTATATATTCTTTTTTGTGCAAATCATTTTTCTATATCCTAGCTAAAACCAAAATAGTTCTAAACTAATTGTTTTTTTTGTAAATTATAAATAGATTTATAATTTTGAATAAAAAAACCAAAACCATAACAAATTATAAATTCTAGATTAGGATTTAGTTTGGATACTATTTTCATAAAATTAAAACAAACTGAAACCGGATTGAACACTCCTCGCTCACCATAGATAAAAAAAACTATACAACAAAATGGATTAACTGGTTAAAAAAACATCACCACCTTCTCTGCTACAGTAATCCTCCAAAACCCTAACGTCCACCTTCTAATTCTGTCCTCACCGCCGTCAAATGCATTCTACCGCATCCGAATTCAACTTTCACCGTCTGCGTTTGATAAAGATTTAATAACAACACATATAATTCTCCAATGAATATATGGTTAGTTTCTTTGTATGTTTTAGGGTTTTGTAACTATAAGCTCCAAAACTGATGAAAATTGGAGTACTAATTTAAAATATTTGAATTACATATATTTTATATCTTTATTCATATTTCGAAAGATCTAACCTCTTTTTATCATGATACTTGAAAATAATTTATAGATATTTTAATGCATTTATAATTTCTTTTTAAAAACATGTTCAAGAACTTGTTAAACCAATATTGCAACTTTATTTTCATATAATTGTTTTTAGTATGTATAGTTTATGTAAAATATTTTATTTAAAATTAAAGTTTCTGCAATAGAAATATTTTATTCGCACTGCATGTTCCGCTTTCTCCATTCATTACATATTTTGAAGTGTTTAAACCGCTTGATTTGTACTTGTACTGCCAGATTTGCTTGGTCCTCTTTAATTCTATAATTCATACACTTGATCCGTTTTGTCTGATATATTTTCTCCATTCAGAGTCATGGTGTTTTTACTATAGCATGCAGATCAATGGTTTTCTTCACAAAAGGCTTGTGTGAAGATTACTTTTTTATTAATAAAATTTTGCAGATCAATTTTATCATCTTGAATAGTAGACACAAAAACGTTCGTCCTCCTATGCATAATATTCACTTTTGCTCTGCTCTTCCATTTATAAGTTAATTACTAATAAAAGCAAACGATTCTGCTCTATCTATATATATATATATATATATCTAATAAGATTTTTAGATTAAGTTTGGATTCATTTCATAATACTTTTAGCAATTATGAGTGAGTTCAATTGATTTGAAATGTTAAAGTTCAAACTCAATACGCAATTAGGCTTTTAGGTTTGTATTGCTGAAAAAGAATTTAAAGTATAACAGAAATTTATTTTGATTTGATTCACTTAAAATTAGTCCGCATGAAATTGTCTTCCGGCTTAAACTAGAGAAGTCTAATTTGTTAAATATCCATTTGGGAGTTTTTTTTGTTAACATATCTTTACTTGAAGGGTCTAAAATGTATCTATAAATATTTGAGGGTTTGTTTTGCTAATAATTTAGTTGAGAGGTTTTAAATACTTTAAATACACTGATTAAAACTTAAGGGTTTTACTCATTTAAATCTCTTAGTTAAGGGTTTTTTACATTAATAATATAGTTGTGGCTTTTAAAATGATCTGCTGATACTTGAGGGTTTTTTTTATATATTAAAATCCCTTTATTTTTAGATTGAAAAGATTAATCTAGTGATGTAATGCCCAATCAAGGACACTTTGATTGAAATTCTCCGAAATTACGAACTAGTTGGACATCACTTTAAACAAAAATAACAAAAGAAAATGATTCAAAGGTCCATAATTCCATAAACTAATAAACAAACAAAATTTAAAAATGATAGAGATCAAAGGTGATAGAGATCAAAGGTTGTAAAGGTCATCATTCTTAAAACAAACAAAAAAACACAAGTTCAAAAAATTGAATATGAAATTTAGAACATATACCAACCAACTAGAAGTCTAGAAATGATTATTGTTAATGGACGGCCAAACTTTATTCATATCAAACGACGTCACATCAGCATCACCTTCCCCACCATTAATTTCTCCAATGGTTGTTCCATTAGGAGGTGGCTCTTGATGGATACCATCGTTGACTGCTCTAGTGTTGCTTCCCCCATGAAATTGTGAGTCGCCATTGTTAACAGTGCTTCCTTCCTCTTTTACACCTAACTTGCGGCTCATGAAATCAAAAGGGTGTTGTCTTGGTTCACTCGTATCCATGGTTGGAGTATTGATGATGCGATGTTGTAACTGATGAGAGACTAACCCAACCAAACCATGGTAGGTCATCACTGGGGCCCTAACTTGCTCTATATCTAAATTAGGGTTTTCTTTTCTACTGCTTCCTTCGTATAAAACATGGTTTGGACTTTTGTTATAAGATACCAAATCCATGTCGATTGGTTGGGAGGTTCTAGGTTTAGGCGGTTCAGGAGACGCAAAAACCCATTTATCCACTAAGTAATGACTTTGATTCCCCCTAAGTGCATTACCAATGCTAAACCTTTTTGTTTCTTCATAATTCTTCCAGTTCTCTCATCAACCTGACCACCTCGTATAATAACATCATTTGCGGTGGCCGTGAGCTCTTCGAATTGCACCTCAAATGGAGGCACCGGTGGATCGCGAAGAGGAGAATGTTGCACAAATTCTAGCTCCTTTCTATGAAGTATGATATTATCCCTTGAAAAAGATATCAATGCATTAATTTCACTCAAGCTAAGATCATTAATTCTACGAACACGATGCAGTTCCTCCATCAATTGATCAGTGACATAATCCATGTGCTTCTTTTGAGTTTTCATGAATTGCTCCTGAACCTTCTTTGTCTTCTCTTTTAGGTATGTCTCAAGACTCATCTCTTTCTTATTCTTCTCGATCTCCGGTAAGGCAAAGAAACCGTCTAGAAGGTCATAAGCCTTCTCAACAGATGGCCACACCATTGGCTCAACGTTATTAGGGCTGAACATGATCATACAAGCCCTTACAGCACACAATATCGTTACTTCTTTTACCTTTTTCATTAACCATACACGTATTTTCTTCAGTTTTTTTGCTCTTGACTTATCATTCTCTACCCATGCAAGTTTTATTTTGTTTACAGCCATGGTCACTCTTTGATTTTGATCTCTCGTTTTGAGTTTTATTTTTGTTGGATATGTGAATAAAAAAGAACGCAAAATTTTATTTAAATAGAGTTTAACACTGATGGCAGTCAAAAGAAATAGATATGGTAGATGATTTGTTAAGATGTAAAATTAATTACTATTTATTTAATAATATTGAAAGTTTATTGTGTTGACAAAAAAAATTTCATTGTGGCCATTAAGATAAACTAAACTTTTCAATCTAAACGAAGTCAAAAATATCAATCCAACAATTAAAAAATTTCCTTTGTTTTTGGATAAATAGATCCTTTTCAAATATCAGAAAGACCTTAAGCGATTTCAAACTGAAATAAAATAAAATTAAAATATTTTTTTAAAATAGAAATATAATTTACTTAAGAATTGGATATAGACCAAGATTAAAATTTTACCACACTAATATATATATTAGATTTGGTTTATATTTATATTATATTTCAAAATCAAACCAATAGACCAAAACTTAAACCCGAATTAAACCAAAATGTTATAATCTTTTTGAGGTTATGTTGTTCTATGGAATTGAACTCTTTGCACATCAAAATTGAATTTACTTCCAAACATATGCCAAATGATACAAATTTATGGTCATAGTCAATGCATCGAGATAATGATTATTTCATAATTCTATCATTAGTGAATGGTAATAATTATATTGACCCCATTATTTTCATTATTGTGCAATATATTTATTCGTATTGTTTTGGAATAAAAATGTTGACTATACATTCCAATATAAGCGTCGTTTTAATATTTTTGTATTGGAAAAGTTGACTCTGAGTATTTTATTTATTTTCTTACCAAATGTTATATTAAGATTAAAAATGGTACATATTTATTGAAAAAGAAGTTTAAAACTGTTGTGAACAAAGAAGATTCGGAAATTGTTTTCTCTGTTATTGATCAATTATACAAGATATAACATTTATATAAGGATACAATATTAGGGTTTAGGTTAGAAATTAAGGCTTCTCGAATCTACTAATGGGTCATATAATGGGATCCATATATTACATATAATTATTCATAACACTCTCCTTTGAATGACCATTATAAGAATATGGTCTCAAATGCGCATGTGAGATGCTGCCTCATTAAAAACCTTACCAGGAAAACTCAATGAAAAAACCATGGTTAAGGGAAAAAGAGTGCATCGCGCTTTTACTTCCCCTCATGAATATATCACTTGAAATCTTCGAGATGATGTAATCTAATATGATGAAGTAACTTCTTGATAGTAGTAATTGGAAACATCTTGGTAAATAGGTTCGCCAAATCTTCACTTGAACACATCTGTAAAACACATATATCGCCTTTCTTCTATAGGTCATGGATCTCGCAAGTGACTCATCTTTATCATCCTCTTTTCTTCTAATGATCTCATCGAGTATGACAAAGACTTTGAAAAATGATAGTCTTTCATCATTAGAGACACAAAATTTTTCTTTAGGTGTGTATCATTCGCGTATTTTCTGTTGTCTCGTTAAAAACTTTTCATGGAAAAATCCAATGGGATAAAAACAATGATAAGGGAAAAAGAGTACAACTACGCACATAATCATATTTCTCCTCCTGGAATCATCATCTTCAGGATATGCATTCCAGTCAGATATATCATCTTTCCGGGAATCACTATATTCAGAAACTTAGTGAACAAACTGGTATGATTATCATATAACCTCTCGGGTCTTTGGACTTCTAGTTCATAATATCTCTTTCAGATAGAAGATTATTTCATTGTCTACTTAGATATCAGGTCCAAATAATCTTTTGCATACAATCTTCTAAATTTTTATCTTTTACATAGGAGTTATGCATACTCTCCTTATAAAACTTACTATTTTAGCTTTCAAAATTATTATGGTTCTTCAGGACTAAATATAAGTGAGCATTTTCCATGTAAAATTCTGCAAAAGATCTTTGGAATAATATCTCTTTTGGTAGATGTTCAATTTGTAATTCCGAAAAATTTCATGAACCAATAAGGGATTTCTATAGTTGCATCCACCAGATGAGAGTATATCTCTTTCTCTTACATTCCATATCTTTGTGAGGATTATTTTTTTCACTAAAGATGCTTTATATCTCATAAAAATCTACTTATCTCCCACTAGTTTTACACCTTCAAGTTTACGGGCTTCTAGTCCAAATACTTTCTCTTCAAGAGATTTTACTAGTTTTCTTTTCCTTCTTTTCATGATTGGCGCCAATCATCACTTTATATATACTTTTCCATAAATCTTCTTTTATTAACCGCGGTTTATGATCCTCGATTTTCATCCATACCATCATCAACTGCTCCAATGCATGCAAAATATTTACGACGTCGATTTGTTTTTTGGTTCCATTTTATTTTAGACATGACTCAACTTGTTGAGATTTATTCTCATTATAATTTTCAGGTACCTGAATCTCTTCCTTATTCATGTCTAAGCTCCTCTGGAGATCCTTTGCTTCCTCAGTGCCATATTAACTTTTGCTCTATTGGAACCAATAAGTCTATCACGCTTCAGGCGATCTTTAGACTTACTAGCAGTTGATCGTATCCTTCTAAAATTATATAGCATGCACATTATATGCCAAACGTTAGCTGTAACTTCTGATTCTATGCATATGAGAGGATTCTTGAAAAGGATGTTGTCGTTCATTGATGCTTATGACTGGTAGTTTCTGGGAAGATAGGGTAGCGCAAAGACATCTAGACAAATTCTGGTTTTTACTTGCTTTGTTCATCTGAGGGAACCTCTAATCTGATTAAATTACTCTTACAGGTATGAAGGAAGTCTTTTTCTATCAGGTATCTACATTGTTTTGTAATTTATCGAAAAATTGGCAGTGATAAATATTTGCAGTGACGAAGTTGGAAGAATCATCGTAGAGAGTGCAAAACAAAGACGAAGTTGGCAGTGATAAATATTTGCTCATCTTTTATAGTAATCCATCGCTTCAAAAAGAGTACAAAACAAATAAAATAAATATTTAATTTTATAAATCTAAATTTCTAATTATTGGTGGAGTTCCAATGGGAGAGATCGTGGGATCCATTGGATAGCATGGGAAAAAATGTATAAAGATAAAGAAGAAGGAGGTTTAGGCTTTCATTCCCTAGACATTTTTAATGATGCCATGTTGGCTAAACAGTATTGGCGTTTAATCCAATATCCGAACTCTTTAGTAGCTCGGGTGCTACAAAGTAGATATTTCAGAAATATTCATCCTTTACAGGCAAAAAAACCAAATTCTCCATCATTTGGATGGAAGAGTATTTTTTCAACTAAAAGATTAGTTGAAATGGGAGCTAGATGGTCACTAGGATCGGGTTTCAATCTATCGGTATGGCGAGATCCATGGATTCCTGATGTTAACCCACGGCCCGCAAATGGAAGAGGAAAAACATTACTTCCAAGTTTGATGGTTAACCATTTAATTAATCCGGCTACTAAAGAATGGCACCTTCCCATTTTACAAGAATTTTTGGATCCAGTGGATATTCAGTTTATTAGGGGATTGGCTATTAGCAAAGTTTATAAGCCAGATAGGCTTATCTGGTATCATACAAGATCAGGAAGATATACAGTAAAATCAGGCTATCGGGTTGCTAGAGAGATGACAGAAACGATCGAATGGGGCCCAAATTATAAGAATTTACAAGCACAAGCTTGGAAAGTCAAAGCTCCTCCAAAACTAAAACATTTCTTATGGCAAATTGCTACGGGATCTCTAGGAGTTACTTCAAAATTAGCACATCGAGGGATCCGATGTGACTTTCTCTGTAAAAGGTGTGAGATGGCAGAGGAAACAATAAATCATGTTTTATTTGAGTGCACTCATTCTCAGAAAATATGGGAATTATCCGATATACCTACGGCAATAGGTAGTTTTCCTCTAACCTCGGAATTCTCAAATCTAGATTATCTTTATTGGAGGTTACCATCTAATCTGGATGGGGGAGAGAAAACCTTCAGTTATGTTTGGATTTTGTGGTTCATCTGGAAAGATAGGAATAAAAAGGTTTTCAAGGGATTACAATCTGAACCCAGAGACATTTTAAATCATGCTTTGAGTGAAAAATTATTGTGGGAAGAAGCTCAGTTGGATCCGATCGAAACTAGTTCTATTACGGAAACTTTGGAACGACCGGTTCAATCTATAAAATGTCGGATTGATGGCTCTTGGAAAAATTCAGATCCAACAATGGGTATAGGATGGTGGTGTTTTCAAGGAAATAATCAAACGATACTGCTCGGTGCAAAGTGCCTTCGGAGGTGTCCCTCCCCTCTTCACTCGGAGATGAAAGCTTTAATTTGGGCTATGAAGAATATCCTTTCAAGAGGGATCGATTGTCAGGTGTTTGAAACAGACTGCTCGGAGTTAGTCTCGATGATACAGTCACCGGATGAATGGCCTGCTTTCTCCAATCTGCTAGACGAATTTGGTTTTCTCCGTGTCTCTTTCCCGTTCTTCTCGCTTTCTCTTATTTCTCGTTTATGTAATGTTCAAGTGGACTGCTTAGCCCGTTCTTCTAGACTTTTATTTTCTGAAGCTACTTTTGTAAACTATTCTCCTCCTAATTGGGCAACCAATCAAGGAGTTATTTATTAATTAATGTGTGGTTGACAAAAAAAAAATTTCACGATCAACAATTTAAATCACATGAAAAATAAATTGATCAACGCCTTAATGTATCTCGGTAATTAAATAATAAAATATAAATCTTGGTTTAGCAAACCAACGATATACCAGAGAAACAACAAATTATCAATAAATCTTGAAGCAATTAATTAATAACTATTACAGATCTCTTTGGCAAGCATATACAGTATACTCTAGGTCTCTAGCTATAGAATAATTAAACCAACATGACAAACGAATAAAATATTACGAAACATGAGATGATCGTTATAAACAATACCCCTATAATAACACCGATCAACAAACCACTAAGCATTACTAAAACGACATACTAACAGATCTTAATACAGTCAAGAACTATATAATTTATAATTAACACATCAAAGAGTATCTATCAATTTTCTAAACCAATTTAAATCCACCGGTTCACCAAACCAAGAGTGAAGCAATAAGTAAATCTTAATTCATTAATCATGACATCATGAGACCACGAAGACAAGTTAAGTAACATGGTTCAATAATTAATCAATCGATCTAAGTGATACGATTGGTAAATAATACTTATCTCAATAACGGTGGTAAAGAGAATTGGGAAGAAGACGGCATTGGAAGCATACCGAATCGGAGACAACATCGAGACAATGAAGATGACGTCTTCAAATATCCAAACCAAAGAAAAACCAAACGTGAGTGTGATACGATAAGACAATAAAATAATAAATCATGCTTTTGGTTTGAGAGAATTATGAAGCTAAGTGATATTAAACAGATCTATCCACCTAGCAATAATTAAACCAACATATTGAATGGCTAAAGCATATATTACTTCCTAACAAAAGGGCATGACCATGACGCGATTACTTTAAAACATGGGTTTCATATAATACTGGCAATAAGATTCAACCATAGATATGCGCATCTAGCAATAAACATGATAAAACAATCATAATCTCAATAATTAAGCAAACACGTTCTGTTATAAAGCATGAGCCGATCGGTTTTTAAAGATGAAGTCACTTATACTAAACTAACGAATGTAAAGTTAATAAAGCAAACAATATGATATAATTTAAATATGCATCGATAAGGTATGACTACTTATCTTGATTGGAAACGGATAAACATTGAAAGAGGAAGACACCAGAGATGGTATCAATTAAGGATTTTTGCAAAGATCTCTTTTAGCTCAGTCGATTAGGGTCTCGTGTTGATAACGTGTTGTGAACAAAGAGAATTCGGGAATTGTTCTCTCTATTATTAATCAATTGTACAAGATACAACATATATTTAGAGTTACAATATTAGGGTTTATGTTAAAGATTAAGACTTCTAGAATCTACTAATGCACCATATAATGGGCATCCATATATTACATATAATTATTCATAACAAAAACAATACTTATTTCGAAGTCTAGAAAACAAACTATTTTTTTACTATTAAGTACAATTGTATTAGTTAGATCAAAATATATTACAAAGTTATACCATTATCTAAATTTAATATCATGCAATATGGTTTATCGATATGTTCTCGCAAACATTTGATCATTTTTTTATGATATATATAAAATCATATCTATTTTGAAACTCCCAAAAATGTAAACCTAGTAGTAATAATGGTATTTTTGGTACATACATGATTTTTTCGAAACCAATGATTTGAAGTAAACTTGACTCCAAAATCTTTGCAACGTTTTTGAAATAAACATGATCTGTGAGACTTGTATGATCTTTGATCCAAACAAAAACACATGCACACATAGATGATCAAATTATGAAGCATTCAACTGAGGGATTCTTCCATAAAAAAAAAAACTAAGATTTTTTCTAAAAAATCAAAATATTTCCACTAAATTGAAACTACGAAGTAACTTTAGTGTTCTACCCAAAATTCCTCTACAAGTAAAATAAATCATTTTGTTATCCATTGGTGGTTTAAAAACGATTGATTTAAGAGAGTTTAATTTTCACTAACTTGAATAGTACAGTATCACCGCTTTTTCTTGCACTTTTTAACATGAAACAAAATTTAGGAGAATTTCTTTTTTGTTTTTTTAATATTAACTTCCTTTGAACTAACCATAAAGCTACTTAGTTGAGATAGAAAAACCTATATTTTGACTCCCATATACAATGTGCCAATTCGTCAAGAGAATGACATAAACAATACGAAAGCAAACAACAACATAAGAAGATGGTTGGATTTTTAAGATGAAATAGCCTTAAAATGGTGCATAAGATAGAACAATATGAAAAAGAAAAAAAAACTAATGGGTAGTGGATTATGCTACACATAAAAAAAAAAGTTATATAAACAAAATTAAAAATATAGAAAAAAATATTTGAAAAAATTAGAAAAACATAAAAATATATTAGTTCGCACAAATCTTCTATTTAAGAAAAGGAAAACTTTTTTAAAAAAGAAACTTTAATTTTAACATAATGTTTAAAGTTTAAACAACATAATGTATAATTCATTTAAGTTTATAATATTTACTATATATCCACTAAACAAACAAAAAAATATTATTACCGTTCTTCAACAATAAAATAAAATAATAAAGATTATTTAACTTTTAAAAATTATATTGTTTTGTGGGAAATCATAACTGAATAGTTTCAGAAAAAGTTAATATATACCTGACAGTTTATGAAAAATTCATCAAAATCTTTTACTAGAAACTTTAAATGTTGATTGATACGATTTTTAAATCTACTAACTTTTTAGAATCTAGCAACTTTCAATATCAACAAATCTACATAAATCCATCTACCAATAGACTAAACAAAAAAAAAAATGGAAAATTGGTTAAATATTTAAAATATTGAAATTTCGTAGATTATAAAAAATTAATTTAGATATTGGAAATGGTATAAAATCTGTAAAAATGGAGGATTATGTATTTAGAAATTACAACAAACAAGAACCACAAGTAGGTCATCTGAGAGATCCAAAACATGAAATCATCACATATAGCTCTAATATGCCTAGTCATCTTCTCCCTCTTTGCTTTACATGAGTGTAAGCATAGGTTTATCTCTCTATATACACACACATATATATCAAATGGTCTCTTTTTTTCCGTTGGTCAAATTTTGGTTTGTGTTTCAAATCAATGTGTAGGGTGGAGAGATACATAGATCGATGCTCAATATTACAATACCACCGTGTATCAAAACCTTTTGCAAGATTACAAAATGTAATCTTTTTTTTTTTTTTTTTTTTTTTTGTGTTGTTTCAGACCGAGAGCTAAGAAGAAATTTTGTTTTAAAGAAGAAGATTATCTTGATGCCAAAGAGCTATGCTACGAAGAATGTACAATAGAATACTAATGTATGTTGATTATTCAATTTCAGGCTTATCTAAAGCATTTTAATTATCTATATATTTTAACTTAGTTTGTCTCTCTTATGGTGATGATACTTCATTGTCCACATGTGTGTCACATCATATTTTCCATTTAACTTTTACAATTGAAACTTTTCATTTAAATATATTTCTAATTGATAAACATATTATATTATGACATATTTTAGAAAGTTATCTTTCATATTCCAAAAAAACAAATTCAAAAATATATTTTATTCAAATAATATTATATATAATAATATTCTTGTTCAAAAAATCGGCCGCCTAGGCGATTAATTAATCGGCCGATTTTGTTCAAGTCTAAGAGCACTTCCAATGGGAGGTTCTCTCATAATTTAGTTGGGTTCTCTTTTGTTTAGATGATTAAAAATAAATCAAAACAGATAATTATTGAGAGAATCGTTTCTCTTAAGAGAGTTTTGGAAATGTGAGAGAGCAGAACACGTGGCAGGAGCTGATTGGGTGATTATATTTAACAAACAAAAACCCTCCCTCTCTTCATTTCTTCATTTCTTCGAGTTCCCAACTATCTCTCTCTCGATTTCTTGCAGAGCCAAAAATTTTCCGATTTGGTTGAGTGGGGAGTGTAAAAATGTGTGAAATTTTGGTGTGTCTGAGTTCGTGACACACCATCGGAGAGAAGACGTTCTGGATTTTGGGATAAAGGAATCAATTTGTTTACCTGATGCAACATCGAGGATATGTACCGAATTGTTATACAATGGTAGCCCTAACGACTGGTTTGATTGATCCGAGTTTGTTACTCACTGCTTGGTCTGTTCATGGATTTTGTTTGAAAATCAATCTAGATTCTCATTCTTATGTTCGTTGTGGTTTAGTGAACATGTACTCGAGATGCAGGTGCATAGCTTCTGCTTATAGTGTGTATAATAGTTTATGTGAGCCTGATTTAGTAAATGTCATTGTTTCAGTTTAAGTATATGTCATTGTTTCAATTTAGAGCAGCTTGTTGAGGTTTGGTAACAAGGATGAAGCAGAGTGGCTAAGAAGTTGTTATCTGAAGCCTCAAGAGTATCCATTTTGTATACTGTGAATTGTACCATTTTATATTGATTCCGTTAACGTCTTGAATCAGATTTGTGATCAATTCTTGTTTATGTTGTGCTTCCATAATCTTGCATAGATTTCTTTGCATACCCTGAAACTGCATTCTCTTTTGCCTTACATGTGCTAAGTGTCCTTAACAAGTGTTTGCTTATTATTGTTCCCGTCTTAAAACAGATATGCAGAACATAAAGATCTTTCAAACACTTGATCAACCAAGCCAAGAACTCTCATCCATTTGGGCTTTGATGCCATCACTGCTATCACCAAAGACTGAGCAGCCTCTATCCAATCTGCCTAAGTTACTCAAAGATGGTAATAACAAACAAAAGAAAGAATCTCAGTTTGCCAAGTTTATTGCAGATACCAAAGACAAGTTTGTAAACCCGACCAAGCTTTCCCGAGATGTGATCTCTAGCAAGTTATGAGAAAATTGGCTTCTTTGCATAGTTTCTGCCTTCTTTTATCCCTTTTCCTGGAGTTTCAACTTTAAATTTGTATAGATAGAGAGATTACAATGTGTTGTTGTTTTTGGATTATTCGGCGTGTAAATTTGTTTTCTTTTATGTGTTCTTTCATACATGTTTATGTGTTTTTTGCTATACACGTTGCTATGCACTTTGCTTTATATATGTGTTCTTTTATGTTCATACAAATGTTGTAACCAAATTTTTTAAGAACCAAAACACTTCAAATCTTTCTTTTCAAAACTTCAAAACACTAAACACCTAATTTTATTTTCAAAAACTTATTTTTAAGAGCCCCAATGAAATTCCTAAACTTTGAAATTATTAAATTTAAAATTAAACTTTGAAATTGTCAATTGAAAGCTAATTTGGTTGAACATATATGGCAAAAATTTCGCAACAATCAACAGTACAACTAATAGTTATTCCGGTTTTGTTTTTTTCCAATCTTTTTTGAAATGTTTGAAAATAATGTATGTTTAATATTTTTATGAATTGTAATAATTATTAAGTTTTATGAAAGAATATTTTTAATAATTTTTTTTTTCCTAAGAGAACCTCACTAGAGAACCTACCATTGGACTATGAAAAATTTAAAAAAAAAAAAAACAAAAGTTCTCATCTCAAAATTTCAACAAATTTATAATAAAAAAATTTCAAGAAATCCAAAATCGGCCTCCTAGGCGATTAATTGTTCAGTGTTCTTTTACTTAAGCAGCTTCTCTAGTTTGGATTTCTAAATCAATTAGTTGAATTATATCTATTGACAAAAAAAAAATTATATATTACACATATATTAGTAAAATGGGATTTGCTTGGTTTAATATTAAACAAACACAAGCATAAAAATAATTCAAAGGGGGAATATGGAACTGATTTTTCTTTACAAGATGTGAGAACTCCCTTGAACTTTTAAGACAAATGTTCATCATTAGAGAAATATTATAAAATACTGAACCTCTGAGACTTAGATGTTTCATCTCTTAAAATTGTGATTGAAGACTTATTGAAACACTCCGACCACCACCGTCTGTGGCCCTCACACCTTCTCTCATCCTGTAAGCCTCACCTTCGTCTGACGGTTTTCTAAGTTTAAAGGTTTCAAAGATTTATCTACCGATCCTACAAATCACTACGTGATTTATCTCCATGTTTTTTTTTCCTCATCCACACTGTACCATAAATTACTAATTGGTCTCATGGCAAAAAAAGGGTAAAAAAATATGGCGGAGATGTTAAAGGCGGATGGGAATTATGGTTCACAAAATGAAAAGTAGGGATGATGAACAAGAGAGAAACTAGACATCCAAGAATCGGATAGTTATAATAACACGCTTTTTTATTTGAGATAATTGGCTCATAAACAACCGATCTAAGGGTATTAAAATTTTCTGTTTTATCTTTTTGAACACATGACAATGTTAATTTCAGCCCATTTTTTTGCCCTCTTTACCCTCACACGAGAGAATAGACGCTTGGATTAACTTTATTTCTCTTCATCTTCATCCCTTCTTTTCTTTCTCTAAAAACTCTTACTCCCATCGTCTTCCAACTCGGTAAGCCGGAGGGTAGATAAATCTGCAGAGGCTTACCATGATACTTCAACGTTTTTCTACACGAAGTTTTGTTTCTCGATTTCGTTAGTTTTTCCGGTCTTACCGTCCGTCGTTTCAATTCTCTCACTCTAATTTCGACTGCTATTTTCCAAACTTAAACTTCTAAATTTTCTGTTACGCCTCTCCTGATCCAATTGTATCTATACTTATTTTACTTAGATCTACATATAGACACTCATAATTTTCCGTGGATCTCCATTTTTAACTTGCATGTTGTCATCTCCCCTTTGTAGATCTAAATTTTTAAAAAAGTTTCACCTTTATTCTTGCAGGATGGCTGATATGGATCTTCTTTCTCGTTTATTTGCCGACGGAGAAGAACCTGCCGGTGATCGTGTCATCGTGAACTTAAAGCTCAATATGATCAAAGCCGTTCTCAAGGCTTTACAACCCTCCGAGATCGATGAATTTGATGATGATATTTTGATCTTCGTCACTGTTAGATGCAATCTCACTAGTGATAAGGTTATCACTTTGGGTAAACATGTCTCAATTAGTTAAGGAATTTATAGTTATCTATAGATTTAAGTACATATTCATACACTTTTATAGAATCATATATTGAACTATATAGTGCTATATTTATTAATAGATATCTACGCAATTAGGTTAGTGGTTTAAAATTTTTAATTTTCGCCTATACGTTTTCGTTACAGATTCAAATTAAAGTCGGTTTCATTTAATATTTGTCACTTCGCTCTGTTTATTGTCGCCTAATACTCATTCCAACTGTTGAACATTTATTAAATGTCAGACTGTTCTTTCGGTTGGTCGTAAGACCATGTATCTCCTCCACGCGTAGGGACAAAACATACTTTGGTTTTTTTTTTTGTAATTAATGGCACATCCAAACCCCTTTTCTACGGTTATTTGAAGCTTGTCAAAAACAAAAACAAAAATCACTAATGTATTTTTCCTATACCCCATTTTTATTTCTGCACAAATTCACTCTTTTTATTTCGAGAACAACAAAATTCAATGGATTTGTCTTACACAATGGTTGATTTGGGGTCCACATATCAGAAGCTTGTAAGGTTAAAATTGACAAGATGAGACGTTAAATATTTTTCATTGTTTTGGAGTTTGTGTCAAATTACTAAAAAACTAATTTACATCATATTCATAGTCTCTGACCCAATTATCTCTTGAAAATAAGTATTTTAGATTAATTTGCTGTGAAAGTAACTACGGAATCTAATAGTTTTGTACTATTGTTTCATAGTATATGTAAAGATGAAGTTGTTTTGTCACTCGATTCCCAATTTCCAAAATCAAGACCCATAAACCATTGACTCTGAATCAGCCAATGGTGACAGAGGAAGTGAATATAACAATCCACGACACAGTTCTCTACCTTACAAATTTTTGTTTGTTTGTTGTAATACGTCAAATTTTATTGTTTATGTGTATCTTCGGGAATAAGGTAGAGAACGTTTAGAGCTCTAAATCTGGTGAGGTTTAGAGCTTTCTCTGGTGGATGGCGACGTTTAGTTAAGAGTGTCCCCTTTTTGTTGGGGATACCTGAAAATTTACATTCATCAAACCAGATGAGCTACTTCTAGACTTCTAGTTGTCTCCAAACCCTAATGATGATGAATGTGAGGGTGTCTTGGAGAAGAAGTTACTGTGTAAAATAACTGTGTTTATTGTTGTTATCTTAATTTTTATGTTATGAATTGAGTTTGGTTTAAGTTGGCATCTGCACTTTGCTCCTTGTCTATGGGATGAATCTCTGTAGCTTAATATCTTGGGACCAGTTCTCAAAATCAGTATATGAATGACCCTAAAATCAAATTATCAACTCAATGGTATTTTTTTTTTTTGGCAATTTGGATTGTCATATATATCTGGCAAACTTTGGTTAGAATCTTTATTTCTTGGCTATGGAGAAAACTAAGAAGGTGAATGTACCATAGAAGCTACACTTTTTCAACAAAAGAGAATGAAGAAGACAGTGATAGAGGTGATGGCAAAGCCGTTGACCGGAGAAACAATCAGAGTTGTTTTCCAGGAGGACCGAGGACGAGGAGAGAAAGGATGCGGCAAAGAAAGCTTGGAAGAACAAAACATCGTCGTGTTAGAGTCCCACATCGGAAAAAAATAAAATCTTTGGGTAATATATATAGTATGAGGCAAACCTCCTCCCTTGAGCTAGCTTTTGGGTGTTGAGTTAGGCCCATTACTAGTATGGTATCAAAGCAAAGGTTCAACTTTCTCGAAAGTGGGCTACCATCCGTGGATGTCTAGTCCCACAAACTTCACGCTTCAGATGTCCAGGGGGGGTGTGTTAGAGTCCCACATCGGGAAAAAAATAAAATCCTTGGGCAATATATATAGTATGAGGCAAACCTCCTCCCTTGAGCTAGCTTTTGGGTGTTGAGTTAGGCCCATTACTAATACGTCGTGTAGGGCGTTTGTTTTCAGACTCGTATGAATATATCTACTCATCTCCATCTTCTAGTTCCATATCCACATCTTGAGACGCAAGAACGAAATTACTAGTCTGAAACGACAATCTTTTGCCCATTTGTGTGACTAAAGAAGAGCCCATTTGTCCACTTGGACTTTAATTTGGCCCATTTTTGTTTTTTCTGACCGACTATAATAGTCGCCATGACCTATATAGCTAACTTGCTCTTCGGCTTTTGTTAATTGGTTTCTCTAGGTCTTTTTTACTTACTATCTAAATTTTAACAAATCTCTTTCTTCCTTCGATCGGAAATCATGAATTCACATTCCTTAACGAATGATCTCATCTTGGAGATATTGTCAAGATTGCCTGCAAAGTCAGTGGCGAGGTTTCATTGCGTGTCGAAGCGATGGGCATCAATGTTTGTTACTCCATATTTTAAAGATTTGTTCCTGGCCAGGTCCTCGGCTAAGCCACGCCTCTTATTCGCCATCGTACAAGACGGTGTGTGGAGATTCTTCTCATCGCCTCAGCTTGAGAAGTCGTCATCAACTCTTGTAGCAGCCGCCGAATTTCATGTGAAGTTCTCTCCACACAACCTACCGATCTATCATTTTTCTGACAAGAGATATTTTTCAATTGGCTACGCCTCTAGCTTGATCTATTTATATGGTGATCGATAGGAGGCTAGACCTGTGATATGTAACCCCATCACAGGACGGTATGCGATCTTACCTAATCGGTATACTTACAGAAAGGCGTATAGCTTTTTCGGGTTTGACCCGAATGACAAGCAATACAAGGTATTGTCCATGGTTTATCCATCTGGTCCTGGTGATAGTAAAATTCTTACATTTGGAGATGGAGATCTGACGTGGAGAAAGATAAAATGTCCCTTACGATATGATCGACATGATATTAAGAGTGAAGGGATATGCATCAATGGAGTTTTGTATTACTTAGGCAGCCCGAATGATGAAATATCTGATTATGTGATAGTTTGCTTTGATGTTAGGTCTGAGAAATTCACCTTTATTGACGTAGAAAGGTTTTGTCGATTGATAAACTATAAGGGAAAATTAGCTGTGATTTATTGGGAGGATGATGTCGACATTCATGAGCTTTATTATCAGGAGGGTATAGATGTCGACAAATATGTGGAGGAGAATCTAGAAGCTGATGCCATTAATGAGTTGCGTTTGTGGATTCTGGAGGATGTTGAGAAACAAGAATGGTCGAAATATGCCTATACTTGGACCGATGATAAATTCTTCCGTCGTCTCGTTTCCATTGGTGGAGTGACTGCCTCAGGTGAGATAGTGTTTTCGATGCGCAAGTATACAACAAAACAACCGTTTTATGTTTTTTACTTCAATCTTGAAAGGAACACTCTCCAACGTGTTGAAATCAAAGGTTTTGGTGAAGCGTTTAAGGAAAATTGTAGAGTTTGCACCTTTGTAAACCACGCAGAGGATCTTAATGTTAACGATTTAAAACAACTCAAGTCAGTCCATCCTCCATTGGTGGATGAATCAGATTCAGAATCAGACTAGAAGGGACAAGGAGATGAAGGATAAAGACGATCATTGGAGTTAGGTGAAAGCAATGGGCATGTCATTTTGCTCTTACCTATATTTACTGTTTTATTTTACCTATATCATTGGAGTTAGCCTTCATTTTGTTTGGTCTCAAGAACATGGTTTTGTAGTTTCTCTTAGTTCTCTGTCTTTAATCTGAGTATATTTGCTTTAATTTTCAACATTGTTTCTTCTGGATGAGATTTGTCCTCTGTTCTGTTTCAACATCTTGTTGTGTTTGTCGTTTGTGTGTGATGAGACTAATTTATTTCATGATGACACTTTGGACTAAATACTTAAAATATGATTTGTACAAAAATGTTCACTGATTTTTGACTGTAATTGAAGAAAACATTTCTACTGTTCTACCATTCCTGGTTTATATTAGTCTCAGATGGGGTTATCACAAGTGTATTTTAATAAAATGATCACTGATTTTTGACTGTAAAAAGTTGTGGTATCAGATTCTTAGTCTTGTGATAACCCTAAAAATATGAACAAGTTCGGACAGTAAAGGAATGGATCTTTTGCCTTGTGGATCTTGTTCCTTGTTAATCTTATCCGAATCTTTCTCTCTTGACATGAAGCCTAAGTTGCCATGGAATAAAGTCACATGTTTCTTTCTTCAACGTCAAGACTCTTATGGAATCATCTTTATTTTGCAGTATATAAATTGTGGGATCAATGGGTTTCTTATAAACCTCCTCCTAAGAAAAATTGGAGATACAAAAATCAGACATGTCAAACGTGAGTTTTCTTGAGTTGCAGTACAAGCTCTCCAAGAACAAGATGTTGAGGAAGCCTTCAAGGATGTTTTCTAGAGATAGACAATCCTCAGGGCTGTCTTCACCTGGATCAAGAGGTTTCTGTCAGCCTTCTGTGAATGAGATGAGACGTGTTTTTAGCAGGTTTGATTCGGATAAAGACGGGAAAATCTCTCAGACAGAGTACAAGGTGGTGCTGAGAGCGCTAGGACAAGAGCGGACGATCGAGGATGTGCCTAAGATCTTTAAGGCTGTGGATCTGGACGGTGATGGGTTTATTGATTTCAGGGAGTTTATTGATGCATACAAGAGAAGTGGAGGGATTAGGTCTTCCGACATACGAAACGCTTTCTGGACTTTCGATTTGAACGGGGACGGGAAGATAAGCGCAGAGGAAGTTATGTCGGTTCTGAGGAAGCTTGGGGAGAGATGTAGCTTAGAGGACTGCAAGAGGATGGTAAGAGCTGTTGATGTAGATGGTGATGGATTGGTTAACATGGAAGAATTCATGAGGATGATGTCTACCAACAATGTCTGAACAGATCAGTCTCTGTTATTGTGTAATTAAACGTTCACTATTCATACAATCTAATCTCAAAACATGAAATCTTGTAACTTTGAATCGACATGATCTCCGATGTTCTTCCAGAATAAGACCAATAATAGATATAAAGCAATAACTTATTCAAAAGTTAGTACATAAACTTAATAACTCATGTAAAAGTGTTCAAAGCAGATGAAATTTGTTACAGCGTAGCAAATACTATTCCATTTCCCAACTGCTAGCAAAGTTCTGGCAAGAGCTTAGAGCGCTATACATGATGCGAAACAAAGGCACAGAAAAACGCCGCTCTACCAGTAATCACCACAAGAACATTTACCGTCTTTGAAGTGATGGAAACGTTTGTTGTCTCTCACGATCAACTCCCGACCAATGATTTTGGACATGATCTTGATGAAGTTGTGACAGTCCCCACACACACGGAGGTTCTTGATGATTGTGAGTGTCTTCCTCGGTGGGGTGCATATGATACC